GGAGGAGGAGGAGGAGGAGGAGGAGGAGGGTAAGGGTACATGCGCCGAAGCGCGGCCGACAGGCCGACGGGCGACTGGTTCTGCTGCGCACTGTCAAACGATCGATGGGGGTGGCCCTCGCCGCCTCGCCCATCTTAAAATAGCTTTCGCTGGACCTTCCTCGTCCATCTGCCTTGGAGGGCGCTGGCAAGGGGCTGGCGCCGGGGCCGCCTCAGCAGGCCTCTAGCCCACGAGCTCCGCCTCCTCGGAGACTATGTCGGAGGCGTCGGCAGCCTGGGTGCGGGCCGCCTCGCGGCCGACACGGCGGACCTCCTCGAGGTCGTCCTCCGTGAGCCCGTGGCAGCGGAGCAGGAAGAGACGCGCCGCCCTCGGCTCGGGCCGCCTGCCCTGGGGCCCTGGCGCACCCGCCGGCGTGGCGGGAAGGCGCTCGTCGCCAGCAGCAGCGCGGCGCCCGCCGCTCGCTGCCGCGGGCAGGTCCCCTTCCAGCTGGAGGTCGCCTGCGAGCTGCAGCTGCTCCTCGGGCCCTAGGGCAAAGGGCCCGTCGAGCGCTCCACCTTGTCTCCCCTTGCCGTAGTGGGGCCAGCGCAACAGGCGCACCAGCCGTAGCTGCTCTTTGCCTGCGCTGGACTCCCGCCCTCGGCACAAGTTCTTGAGCAGCTTGCCGGGCTTGCGGCCCGCCAAAACCCCGCCGCACCGCAGGCAGAACACGAAGCGCATCTGGGGGTTTTCCACCACTCGGCAGCGCAGGAGAGCGCGCCCTCTTGCCCTCCACGCGCGCCTGGCCAGGACCTGGTCGTCGAGGCCAAAGTGCAGCTCCACGTGCCCTGGGGCGCGTCCCTCCTGGCTTTGGGGGCTGGCAGCCGCGCCTCCGGCTGGGCCTGCAGGGCCCGCGTCGCCGACCGGCCCGCTGCCCTCGCATGCATTCTCGGGGGGCTGCTCCTTTGCAAGGGCCATCTCCTCGCTGAAGTCGTCGACGCCGAAGCCGAAGGCGTCTGAGCCCTGGGAGGCTGCCCCATGCTTGGTATCAACTTGTGCCGCCGCCGCTTCCGGCGCGAGCGGCGCGCCCCACCTGGGCGGGCCTGCCACCGCCCCTGGGGCTGGGGCAAAAGGAGTGCCTCCGGCAGCCGAGGGGGGAATGGCATCCCCCGGAGCTGCAGCAGCAGCCGCCGCTGCCTCCTCCTTTTCTTCGCCTCTCGCCGCCTCCTCGTCCCCTTGCCCAGGCCGCTCTTCCCGACCAGCCTCTGCCTGGCTCTCCCTGACGGGAGCTTCACGCACGACGTCGCCGTCCGCGGCGGCTGCAGGGGCAGTGCCCTCGCTGAGTTGGGCGTGTCCGTGGAGCACATCCTCATGCCGCGGCCCCCCATCTTGGGCAGGCCCCCCCCCTTTCACGCCCCCCTTCAGAAGGGGGGGCAGAAATGGTACAAACATTGCCCCCATTTTGCGTGGGACAGGGGGGCATCGGCATAGCGCCAGCATGAGTAGCAGTCTCGGCAGGCCTCTCATCGCCACGCGACTGGGACACGCTAGCTTGCACTTGGGAGCATGAGTAGGTTGGCCCCCCAGCTCCAGACATTATCCGTCATGATATGTGCGTTCTCTACACGCACACTAAGAAAGCCCGTTAACATACATGTAACAGTCACGATATTTGCCACATCTCTTTTTACTGCAAGTTAAAGTTTGAGACCTAGACTGGGGAGGCAACTCCCCAGGGTTGCGAATCCGTCCCGCCGATGCCCGAGGGGGGGGATTCTGGGCCAAAAACCAGCGTCAATATTAAAAACAAAATTGACGCTCGATTTTGGGCTGTTCACGGCCCTATCTACACGCACACTACACCTGGATCCCCTTAAACCGAGCCCAGGAAAGAATGTTTGAAAACTGATAAAGCTAACCCTAACGGGCGCCATATGGACGGCAGCGGGCCCCAACGCGCTGCCTTTTGGGCGCTCCACCACACCTCTCCCCCATGCCCCTCGCCCCTTGCGGGATGTCCGGGAGGGGTCCCGGGGAGGGTGGACGGTTGGGGGCCCCCCGGTCCTCGTGGTCCAGTCGCTGCCCGTCCCCCAGCTCGGCCTCCAGGGTGGCGCTCCAGCGGCATGCCTCCTTCGCCAGCTCCCGCAGCCCTCGCCATAGGGCCTCGTCTGGCTCGCCGAGCGCATGCCTGGCGGCGCCCCGCTTGGCGAAGGAGTCGGCGTGGTCGTTGGCCCGCCGCTCCCAGTGCGTGCTGCGGCCCGCGTCGATGTCGCCGCTTGATGCATGACCCAGCGTCTTGTGGGCCTCGAAGTCGCCCTCCGTGAAGGAGGCCCAGAATGGCCCCCAGAGGTGGGGGCGCGGGTCCACCCCACGAGTACCGGCGCCGGCGCCGCCACCGAGGGTGCGCAGTGTGTTGGCGCAGTCGAGGTACAGCTGGAAGGGCGCCATCGCCACCTGCGACAGCATGTGGACCGCGTAATCCTCAGCGTCGGGAGCAGTTTGGTTGGGCGCGTCCGACAAGGGCACTGGGCCGTACGCAGCCGCCTCCAGGTGGCCGAAACGGTCGACTTGGACCACCGACCAGCCGGCATGCTCGAGCCCTGGGAGGGACCCAGCAAAGGCGCTCCCGTCCAGGAAGAGGCACCCCGTGAGCAGCCCTGTGCTAGGTCTGTTTACCCAGCAGATGTCCCCCTTCCTGCCCACCCGTTCGAACAGGCAGCTGGGGCTGGGGAAGAGCCCGCGGCAGAACCGCTCCGCCGCCTCCAGGCTCCACCTCCTCACCCGGGCAGCTCGGGCCCGCAGGCTGACCGACGCGCCCTCTCGGCGGCGGGCTGCGTGGCAGGGGCACTCGTAGTGCCTGTGGAAGAGGCTGCCCAGCTGCTCGCCACACAGCTGGCACCGCGCGGTGCTGACCAGGCCATGTGCGAAGAGACGCGCCTGCGGCCAGTGGACGTTCGTGACCAGGGCCTTCAGTGCACCCTGGTGCCGCTTGCTCCATCCTGGGGTCGCATTGTGGAGGAGCGCGTGTAGCGGCTCCCAGAAGATGGGCCCGCTTGGCAGGCCCACTACTCCTCTGGCCAGAGTCTTGCCCGTGGCCTGGAGCGCTAGCTTGTCCGAGGCGCGCGCCGCGGCCTTCTTGGCCTGCTCCTTGACCTGGCGGGGGCCCACCCTGAGCAGGTCGATTCTTGTGCCATCATCGGTGCGTATCACCAGGGGGCCCTCGAAGTCCCAGCCAATCCGCCTCGCCGTGAGGAGGGCCGCGTCCGCTGGCGTGCGGGCCGTGAGCCAAGGCCGGGGGTTGCCCTGCGCCCGCGCCAGCGCCGCTGCCATGGTGACTTCCAAGACACGGCCGTGCACCTGCTGCTCCCAGGCTGCCAGCGCCCACATGTACAACACGTCCATCGAGTGCAGCACCAAAGGGTCCAATTTCCGACCGAGGCGGTGTGCGTGTAGGCGGAGGCCCAGCGCGCAGCCTTTGGGCAGCCGCCCAGCCGCTGCCGCAGCCTTGACTCGCAGTCTGTGGAGAGGCCCGTCCGCCAGTCCAGCGGTGGCTGTACCCCACAGGGCCGAGGCGGAAGCCCCCATCCGCTGCAGCATGCCCGCATCGCCGAGGCCTCCGCGCCGAAGGGTCCCGTATCGCCTGCTGCGGCGGAGTGCCTCGACCTCCCTCGTGGCCTGGGCCGCCACCGAGCGCCTGGCCCCCAGCGTGTGGTTGGTGCCCAGGGCCTTCATCGTAAGGGCCCTCGACGAGCCCGGAAAGGCCCAGGCCTGCCGCAGCTGCTCGTCAAGCTCCGCGTCAGAGGCAAGGTACTTGCTCTTGCCTGGTGATAAGGGAAGCCCGAGCCGCCCGAAGTCCTGTAGCAGGCTGCTGAGGCTGGCCGCGGCTTGCTCAACCACCAGCTTTCTCGTGCCGGTGATGTTTAGGAGGACGTCATCAACCACGTTGCGGATCGCAACGCACGGTCCCGCTGCGCTGGCTCGCCGAAGGGGGCCGATGAGCAGGAGGCGCGCCAACGTAGTGGCGCCGCTGCAACTGGCGATGATGGCTGCGGCTGCCTGGAAGGGCGGGGAGGCGCCGCCTTCGAAGACCACCCTGCGCCTTCCAGCGTAGATGCAGCACAGACCGCGAACTAGCCTGAGCGGAAAGCCGTGCTCCTTGGCGGCTTCGTAGAGGAGCCGCAGTCGGACTTTCTCATAGAACTTCTGGAGGTCGACACCCGCGGTGACCGAGGAGAAGCCGACTTCCCTCGCGAAAGCTGCCTTCAGGTTGTGGGTGTACCCCGCCCACTCGCAACTGGTCAGGGAGGAGCCGCCCCAGAAGAACTGGTCGTCGCGCTCCCGCTCCCAGGCCGCGCAGAGCGGCCGCCTCAGCCTGGACCGCAGCCGGGGGAAAAGAGCCAGCAGCCCTATTGGCCGCACACCTCCTCCGGCTTTCGCTATGAAGATCATCAGGGTCTGGAACGCCTCCAAGGCTTCTGGGCGCTCCTCGAAGGACATGATGATGTCGAGGGCCCGTTGAAGGGCCTCGTCGCCCAGCTGCAGGAGGACCCTCGGATTGAGCCCGTCCCAGCCAAGCCCTGCTGTCTCCGAGTACCTGGCGCAGACGTCCTTGAGCTCCTGCAGGGAGACCGGGGGGAGGGGTTCGTCCTCGACCTCCCACTCCGACGGGTGGTCGTCGCCCGCGTGGGAGCGCAACCAGAGGGGCTCCCAGTCATCCAGGATCTTCTGGACTGCCTGCTGCCCGTTTACGGGCCGGGCGCTGCCATCAGCTTCTTCAACCAAGAGGTCCCCGGTGTCCTCGTCCTTGCGCCTGGCGTAGCGGTGGGCCAGCCGCCCACCTCCTTGCGCCGCCTTCTGCACCCAGGCCTTCCAATCCTGGCTTCGCTGCGTGGCGTCCCTGGCGCGGCGCCGAAGGACCTCCTGGCGGAGCAGGGCAAGGGGTGAGGCATGACCACTCCGGTGAGGGATCTCGGCAGAGACGGGGACCCCTGGAGTGACCCCGCCACCAGTCGGAGCTGCACCTCTGCAGGGCGCGATGGCAGCGCCCGCCAGGGCGCTGCTCTCATTGGGCCCGCGGGCCCGCGGCCCTCCTGGGGCAACGCTGCAGCCGTTGCCGTCGTGCTCGCCGAAGCCCGCGGCTTCCCAGCCTCCTGGGCTCGTCGCCACCTCGACAAGCTCGAGGAGGCGAGGCTTGGTCAGCACCGCCTCGGAGAAGTCCGACTCCTCGGCCATCGCTAGCAGCTTGCGCTTCCACTGCTGTAGCAAGGATGAGCCCTTGCCCCTGCGGAAGCTGGATGGGGCCGCCCCAGCCCTGGGGCCAGGATGGTTGGAGGCCGCTGTCGCCGCCTTCCCGAGCAGCGACAGGAGGCTGATCCAGGCGATGGTCGAGCTCGAGAACCTCCCGCGGTATTCACGATGCCACAGGTCCTCCAGCCTTACCTGCTTTAGCTGGGGGGCGGTGCAGCGGCCTATGTATTTGTGAGCGTCCTCTGCCTCGGTCCCTTGGTCCCGGACGAGCGTTTGCTCCGCAAAGGCAAACCACTCCTTGACCATGATTTCCAGCGGAGCCTCGCCGGACCGCCCAGCCTCCCAGCTCCAGGCAAATGGCAGCTGGTCCTGCTTGGGCCCTATGAGCGGGGTGTGACAGAAGGCCTTGAAGCGGAGCGGCCTGGGCGCCACTTGGTCACTGCGCAGCCCCGCCAGCTTGGCCAGTATCGGGGCGTGCGGATGTAGCGGTGCCTCTGGGGGCGCCTGGACGGAGCGCACACAGCTCCGCAGGGCCTGCGACATGACGAAGAAGTCTATGGTGCGGCCTGCCTCTTCCTTCGCAGAGGCAGCGGCGGCGGGCTCGCCAGGGCAGGGGGGGCACGCGGGCGGCGGCTGCACGCCTCCTACTCCTCATGCTCCAGTCCTCGCGGTCGCACTTCCGGCCCAACAGGTGTGTCCAGCCGGTGCCGCCACCGCGCCGCGCACCAGGGCAACGAAGCCTGATGCCTCGAGTTCCACCCCCGTCATGTTCCAGTCCGCCTGGATGACCCACATGGCATCGAGGCTGAGGGTGATCCTGGCCAGGCGCTCGAGGAGCTCGGCGTTCCCCGCCGCTCCCACGCTGTGCTCACAGTATACGGACAGAAGCACCACTCCGCCCGGCACTGCTGCGCCGAGGCGGCGCCCACATATCCGGCGCCCGAGGTCCCCAACGTCCAGACGCTCGGCCGCCGAAGCAATCCCGCGGTGCGCCATGACTGCGACCCCGCCCGAGCTCTCCAGGGCCCCGCGGCCAGTCGAGCACGCCTTGCCCAGCGTGATTCTCCTGTTGGCGAGGGCTGCCTGGCTGCGCGCCGAGATCAGCGCTGCTTCGCTCTTCAGCCTGGTCTCCTGGAGGCAAAAGGCATGTGGCTTCGCCTCTAGCCCCCCGCCGGCCACCTGCTCGTCGATCCACTGGTGGAGGACCGTCCAGCTGCTCCACGCATTCACGTTGGCGCCCATAATGAGCAGCTCCTCCGCAGCCTCTGGGGGCCTCGGGCCCCCGCGCCCCGGCCCAGGTACCTCCAAGCTGCTGAGGCGGGAGGTGCAGCTCCGCGCCGCAGGACCCCCTCCCGCTCCCTCAGCCTCCTCAAGGGCGACGAGGTCGATACATAACCACAGCCCCAGGCCAGGCCCACCCAGGGCCCAGCAGCGGCGGAAGCGCCCCCCTGGCCAAGCCAGGAGGGCGCGCGCATCGCACCTGGGCCCAGGATGGCCCTGGCCTGGGGCGGAGGAAGAGTATAGACCTCGACGCTCTATCCTCACACCTCCGCGCGCCGCGTCCCAGAGGAGCGCCTCCACCCCTATGGCGGCCGCTGCTGCCGCGGCCCTCGCCGGTGGCATTCGACAGCGCAGAAAAAGAAGAAAATTGGGACCGCGATGCAGCCGAAACCCTAGCAACCATAGCGTCCGAGCGCTCGACCTGCACAGGCACGCCAAGGGTTGCGCACTCGGACTCCCGCTCGCCGACAACGGATAGTCACCGCCCCGGCTCGGGGGCGCTGCCCGGAGGGTTCACGTCGCGAGCAGGTTGGCCCGCGGCGGCGTTGCCCGCCCTGGATGCCTCCGCTGCCTCTCCCGCGGCCTGCACGCTGCCTCCGGGAGGCGGGGGTGCGCTGGCGCCCCCCGGGGCAGCACCAGCAGCTGAGGGTGTGCAGGCGCCCCCCGGAGCGGCCTCCGAAGGATCCCCTGGCTGGGGGCCCCCTCCCAGGATGGCGCCCACGGTGCCCACCCACTCCACGCCATGTCCTCGGCGCAGGCCGCTGAGCAGCTTGGCGTCCACGTCGCCCCCGTAGTGGTCAGCTCCCAAGGCCGGGCCCTTGGGGCCGGTGGCGGGCGGGGCGCCTTTGATGCCTGCACCCTCGGGAGCTTGTGGGCTTGATGCCGCGGCGGGGGGCGCTGCTGCTGGGGCGCCGCCGAGTGCCCCTGGGGGGGCCGCAGATGGCTGCTCCTTTTCCACCGCTTCCACGGCCTCTTGGACGCTGGCTAATTCGGCTGAGATTCTCTCGCCTTTGCTGTTCATGTCGCGGATCCGCCCTGCGAAGGACGCCTGCGGGAGAGGCGGGACCGGGGCCTCTTCCGCCGCTGCCGCTGTGTGCGCGCTGGTATCTGCTCGCGCTGCGGCCTTGACGAGGCGGCAGATCTCATCCTGGCCCAGGTGCACCGACTCCGGGTGGGCTTTCACATAGTCCAACACCTCCTCCAACGAGGGGTCTCCGGTCTGTGCCGAGGTCTGCGGCTGGATGGCCTTCTCGGTGACCTTGAGCTGCTCGAGTTTCTCCTTGATCTGGCCGATGCGGTGATTCACTTTGGCCCCGAGGGACTCATACTCGTCCACTAGCTGATCGATCTGGGTCTCCAGACTGAGGAATTTTTCCTTGTCCTTCTGGACCTCTGCCGTCGCGTCGGCGATGGACTTCCGCAGCTTTTGGGCCTGCTCGGGCAGTGGCAGGCTGAGGAACTTTTGCTGCCTGAGCACAGTAAGCTGCTGCGCTGCTGCGAGGCGCTTGGGATGGTCAGCGCCCACTGTCTTCGCCCAGAAGTCGGCCTCTGCCTGAGCGAGTTCCAGAGGTGTTTTGCTCCGCTTGGCCCCCTCCCCCGCTGTCCCTCCGTAGCCAGACTCACTGGCCAGGGGGCCGCCTGCGGGGCTGCGTGGCCTCGGCTTGCCCTTGCCACTATCCTTGCCTTTCCCTTTCCCGTAGTCCTTCCACTGGCCTTTGCCGCCCCCCTTTGGCCCGTGCTTGCCGCCCCCGAAGTGGCTCCCGTACTGGGCCGGCGGTACCTCGCGCTGGCAATGCCATCCGCTTGGCTCTGGCATCGGCACGAAGGGAGGATTGGGAACCTCGGGGGCAACCGTGTGGCAAGGGGCCATGGGTAGGAAACTCGGCGGCGCCCAAGCGTGGTAAAAAGGAGGCGTTGCCTGTCCCATGAAAGGCCCTTGCGGCGGTGGCGGCGGCGGCGGCGGGGCCTCTGCTGCTGGGGCTGGGGGCGCCATGCCCTCGGTGCGGGGTTTCGCCCCACGGCTCTGCTCTGTGGGGCCGATGTTGCCCGCCTGGCGATCGCGCTTCGAGCCCGTGCGGCCCCCCTTCCCTGCAACCGACGGGGCGCTCGTGGGGCGCGGGCCGCCCATGGGCAGGGCCGCGCGTGAGGCGTACGCCATGCCTGGACAGAACTGGGCTAGCCGAGCGGCTCGGCGGGGCAACGGCGCGTTTGCTGGAGCCTAGATGCTGTGGTGGAGTGTGGGGGCGTGCAGGCGACGGCGAGGCCGTTTAGTGCAAGTGCGGCCTTCAGGGACCGTGGAGCCCGACACTACAGCGCCAGTGATGGGCTATCCCCTGGGGCCTCAAGGCTAACTTGCGCGGGATACCCAATGAGCCCCCATCGTGGAGCCCGCCGGGGCGTATTGGGAGTCCTATGTGGGGTCTCTCAGGCCCCTCGTGGGGGCTGCCTGTAGCTCCTTTTTGGGGCTTCTTGGGGCCCCTCTTTGGGGCCTCCCTGCGCTTCCGCACTGCTCCCCCCCAGGAGCCCCGCGGCATGTGTCCCTTGGACCTCCTTGTAGGGTCCTCTTGAGCCCCTCGCGGTGGCTCCTTGATTCCCTCATGAAGGTTACTTGTGTCCCCTTAGGGGGACTCATTGGGACTTACCTCGCGCCCGGTGTTTCAGTAGGCCTGGCCCAGAGCAGCCGATTTTTGTCGGTGAGCTGCTTAGTTTACCGGTGTTTTCACCTGGCACGGCGGCAACAGCCGCACTACACTGGTGGGCTGCCTAGCTCACCGGTGGCTTTCCCAGGCGTGGCCAATGAGCCCCACCTGACCCGCCGAAGCAGCCACCGTACTAGAACCGATCGCCACCGGGCGGGAGTAGTTTTGCCCCCCTCGGATTCTGAGTGCCGGCGGGTCCAGAGCTCGGAACGCACGTGGGTCGTGCTGACCCGCCCTACTTGCAAGCAAGTTTGTATACGGGGGCAGCGAGCAGAATGACCTTCACACGGGGCCCTCTTGTGAACGGATGGAGAGTACCCAACCGATGAGGACGGGAGGGGGGCCATGTAAATGAGAAATGCCTAGCCGACTGCGCTAGCGTCACATGTAGGTTTACCGGCGGCGGAATGTAGGGGCATCCACCACCTATTTTGCACATGGATGGCGGCCGGGTGGGGACCGAAGCGGCGTCGGCGACGGCGGCGGGGGCCGAACCGAACGACCGAAGGACGAGGAGGTTGGGAGCGAGGCTGTCTGCTATCGCGGGAGTTTCCTCCGGCAGAACAGTCCGCTTGAATCCCCCGATCCCCCTAATTCCTGGCTGACGCCAGTCGTGCAGCATTCCTGGCTAACGCCAGTCATGCGGAAGCGGGCCGAATTTCGCCTTGGCCGCCCCGACCCCTTGAACTGGCTGAGGCCTGGTTAGCTCCAGTCATGCAGCAGTCCTGGCTGACGCCAGCCGTGCGGAATCCGGCCACCGTGTAGCCGCCCCGACCCCTCCTGAGTAAGACGCGTTATGCGTTGTTCACCCCGACCCACCCAGGGGAGTTGATCCCTGGCTAACGCCAGTCGTGCAGCAGTCCTGGCAAACGCCAGTCGTGTGGACACAGGCCGGACTTTCCCACCCCCCCCTGAACTAGCGTGACCCTGGCTAACGCCAGCCATACAGCAGTACTGGCTGACGCCTGTCGTGCGGAGGCAGCCGAACTACGAATCACCCCTCCTCCCCTTGAACTGATTCCTGGCTAACGCCAGTCATGCAGCAGTCCTGGCTGGCGCCATTCCTGCGAGCGCAAGTCGAATTCTGGTTAACCGCCCCTACCCTGCCTGAACTAGCGTGGCTCTGGCTAGCGCCAGCCATGCAGCAGTCCTGGCTGACGCCAGTCGTGCGGAGGCAGCCGGACGACGAGTACCCCACATCCCCCCTGAACCGATTCCTGGCTAACGCCAGTCGTGTAGCAGTCCTGGCAAACGCCAGTCCGGCGAGCGCAGGCTGGATTTTGGTTAGCCGCCCCTACCCCACCTGAACTAGCCTGGCCCTGGCTACCACCAGGCATGCAGCAGAGATGGCTGACGCCAGTCGTGCGGAGACAGCCGAATTACGAGCCCCCCTTACCCCACCCGAACTGAATCCTGGCTAACGCCAGGCGTGCAGTAGCCTTGGGAGGAGGAGGAGGAGGAGGAGGAGGAGGAGGAGGAGGAGGAGGAGGAGGAGGAGGAGGAGGAGGAGGGGAGGGAGGAGCGAGGAGGAGGAGGAGCGAGGAGGAGGACGGATGGTGGAGAGGAGGAGGAGGAGGAGGAGGAGGGGAGGAGGAGGAGGAGGAGGAGGAGGAAGGAGGAGGAGGAGGAGGAGGAGGAGGGAGTGCGGAGTTGCGGAGTTAACGCGAAGTGCGGAGGGGGAGGCGGCGGCGGAGGCGGAGGAGAGGGAGGAGGAGGAGGAAGGAGGAGGAGGAGGAGGAGGAGGAGGCGAAGGAGGAGGAAGGAGGAGGCGGAGGAGGAGGGAGGAGAGGAGGCAGGAGGAGGAGGAGGAGGAGGAGGAGGAGGAGGAGGAGGAAGGGAGGAGGAGGAGGAGGAGGAGGAGGAGGAGGAGGAGGAGGGGGGGAGGCGGAGGAGGAGGAGCAGGAGGAGAGGAGGGAGGAGGAGGAGGAGGAGGAGGATGGGAGGAGGAGGAGGAAGGAGGCGGAGAGAAGAGGAGGAGAAGGAGGAGGAGGAGGAGGAGGAGTAGCGGAGGAGGGGCGGAGGAGGGGGAGGAGGAGGAGGAGGAGGCAGGAGGAGGAGGAGGCGGAGGAGGAGGATGAGGAGGAGGAGGAGGAGGAGGAGGCAGGAGGAGGAGGAGGAGGAGGAGGAGGAGGAGGAAGAGTAGGTGGGGAGGAGGGGGAGGGGGAGGAGGAGGAGGAGGAGGAGGAGGAGGAGGAGGAGGAGGAGGAGGGAGGAGGAAGAGGAGGAGGAAGAGGAGGAGGAAAGGAGAAGAGGAGGAGGAGGAGGAGGAGGAGGAGGAGGAGGAGGAGGAGGAGGAGGAGGAGGAGGAGGCTGAGGGCGGCGAGGGGCCAGGAGAGGCCGGACGGAGAGGAGACCGAGGCACCCCCGGGGTGAGAGCACCGACGGGGCGCAGGAGCAGAAGGCCGAGGCTGGCGGCGAGGGAGCGCTGAGGAGGAGGTGGGGGAGGAGGAGCACGCGGAGAAGGAAGAGGAGGAGGAAACAGAGGGCGAGGAGACGCAGGCTGCGGCCGCGGAGCCCCGGGAGCGCCGAGGAGGAGGAAGAGGAGACAGCCCGGGCCGCCGCCCCCGCTGCCGCCCCCGCCGCTGCCTCGCCGCCGCCCCCGCCACCGACCGGCTGAGGGGGCCGGTGGACGGGGGGCCCTCCCAGGGCCCTCCGCGGCCGGCGCGGGCGCCGGTCCGCAGGGCGCGCTCGCCGAGTGCCCTGGGGGTCCCATCGGACTCGGGGGCTCCCGGGGCCCCGCCCGCGGAGGGGGAGGAGGAGGAGGAGGAGGCGGTGTCGAGTGCTCCTGCCGCCGGCCAAGCTGCCAACCATGTATATGAAGGCCTGGTCCGTGCTGAGTGGGCAGGCCTCTCGGACTTCAGGCGCATCGCGTATTTATTAGCCCAGGCCCAGCAGGAGGCTGAGGCCAAAGAGCGTGCCCGTGTGCTCGAGGCTGATGCCAAAGGGCGCGCCCGTCTGCTCGAGGCGTTCTCGCCGTGCTCCAGTCAGTCGTGCACTGCTGCGGCGGGCACAGGCTCTGGACGCTCGAGATGGGCACGGAAAGAATGGTCAGGATGCCCAACACCAGTTCGTGTTCCTTCTGAGCTGGGTTCGCTGTCCTCGCCGCCGCGGCCTTTGTCCTTTCGCGTATGGGACAGCCTTGATACTGTTAGGCATTGTACCCATTCTTGCGCTACCCGAACAGGTGGGACCCAACCCAGCAGCAGCGGGCCGGCGGGGCCAGATGCCGGTGCGGTCCTCGTGCCTTCAACTGGTGCCCCTGCGCAGGTGGATCCGGAGGCGGAGACAGTCCCAGGCCTCCCTGGATTCCCCGCCGAGTCTGCCATGGCCCCTGGCCGTGCGCCGGCCGAGCCAGCAGCGGTCCCCGTGCCGCCACCGGTCTTCGGGGCCTTCCTGAACACAGCTGCTCTGCCCTCGTCCAGCTCGTCGTCGTCGTCGTCGTCGTTGGCGGCGCCTGGCTCGCCTGTCGCCGGCTCCTCCGGCCTCGCCTGGCGCCCCGCACTGCAGCGGCGACGCGGCAGGCAGCGAGGGGCCTCTCAGCTGCCTGCTGGCGGCGGCAGCTGCGCACACTTTGCCCTCGCACCCTGGCGTCTGCAAGTCGGCCTACTCGCCGGCGCTCCTGGCCGCGGTCGGCCTCCTACCGGCAGAGACCTTGGCAGGCTGGCTCGCCCATGCCTCCATGGGTCCGCCCTTCGCAGGCCTGGTGCAAGAGCTCGCGGGTCTATCGGCGGTGCCCTCCTCGGATCTCTTCTTTGCTCTGTAGTCCTTGGCTGCCGCCGCGCCCGGGCTCGCCGCGCCTGCGGCCTTGGCGGCCGCTGCTCTCTTCGGGCGGCTGGGGCGCCCCGTAGGCCTTGTGGAGGTGGTCCACACCCTCCTGCTTGGGGCCAACTACCTGGACCCCTTGGTCGCCGAGGCCTTGGTGGCGGTGCACGGGGGCTCTGCACCGGGTGCCGCTGCCGCCCTCCGTGCCGCAAGTCTGCGCTGGGCTGCGGGCGCAGCGGGCGGTAGCTCGGGCGGTGCTGCGGGGGCGAGCCCGGGCCTGGCAACTGCGTCGCAGGCCACTCCCCCGTGGCGCAGTCCGCCCGCCGCCCCTCCGCCTCTGGGCGGCCCCGCTGCG